GCTGGAGGGACAGGGGGTTTGGGGGGGCCGCTCGGAGCTGCGGAGCGACCTGGCTTAGCGCTGGGTTACGGAGCAGGCTGGGCTGTTCTCTGGGTGCTGGGCTGTTCTCTGGGTGCTGCGCTGGCTGGGGTTGCCCCGCTGTCCTGGTCGGACCTGCCTTGAGCCAGTACCTGCTGGGTGATCGCTGCCCTGGTGCTGTGCCTTTGGATGAGGTGTCTGCACCACTTCTCACTTGTATTCAGCTGAAACCTCGTGCAAGAGAATACTTCCCCCCCCGCCGTGAGATTGGTCAAATGCTGGCACAGGCTGCCCAGAGAGGCTCTGGAGTCTCCATCCATGGAGACATTCAAAACCCCGTGGGCCAGGGTCCTGGGCAGCCTGCTCCAGGTGACCCTGCGTGAGCAGGGGTTGGTCTCCATCCCCAAAGGGCCCTGCGGACCTCAGCGTTTCCGTGACTTACCCCGTTTCTCACCCGAGAGTCCCTGGGAGCGTGGTGGGCCCGGTGGGATAGCACCGTGCCCCGTGGTCCCCGGGGAGGAGGGGTGCGGGGGATTCGGTACTCACTTTGGAGCACGGGAGACTGGGAGAGCTGATGGCCGTGTGCTGCCATCTCGTAGGATTTAGTGGCCAGAGACCTGTGTCAGCATGTTCCTCTGTGCCGTTGTTGCTAGAGGTGATGTCTCTTCTTGGAGTGGTCTGCTTGGACCAAGTGGAGCCCGGACACACAGGGAAGGGCCTATTGCCAGGCTGCTAAAAGGGAATTTAATATTGGGAACAGCAGCCTGGAGGGGATGTGCATCACGGGGTGTGCGAGGAAGGGGCGGATGAGCCGTCCCCGTGAGCCCAGCACGAGCGAGTGTGGGGCTGTTGGTCAGCAGAGTGGCTGGAAGAACGGTCATTGAAAAGCAGAGATGGAAGGGGAGATGATGTCCCAGGTCCGGGGGGCATCCAAACCATGGGTTTGTGGCTGGGGTGGGAAGAGACTGAAGGAAATAATAACCTGCTGCAGGGCTGAGACGTTGCGGAGAGAAGGGGCCGGGGGGTGCGGGTGGTCCCGTGGGCGACAAGCTGGGTGTCAGCGCGGGGCAGACGTCGGACGTTCCTGCGTTGCAGCCTGCCACCTCGGCCAGGGCAGAGGGAAGCTCCTCCAGGCAGTCACGGGTCAGCTGGGCGAGGAAAGCGCCCTGTGTTTAGGGATTATTTTAATCTTTTACTTGGTGGTGTCTGAGGGGTCGTTCTGCATGGTCAGTCTGGCTCTGCTGCCTGCTCAGCTCTCCGGAATAGCTGGGGAATTCGGGTGAGAAGCACGGCATGAATTTTTAATGGTGTGCGTGACAAATTGCTGGGAAAAGGGGGAAGCGATGTTCCAGAAAGGTGCTTTGCCAGGGTCCGAGGCGTCAAGGCAAACCTGGGCTGCGGTGGCCTCTGTTGTGTGGGTGATCTGGTCATTTGAGGGGCCCTTCGGCCTCAAAACTGCCGGTCTCAAGGTCACCCAAGGGCTTCTGCCGCCTGGGAAGAAGCCTTGTGCCGGCTGCGACGCTGCTGTGTCCCCCGCACTCCCGGAAGGCCCCAGCGCAGCGGGGACGGACGGTGGCATGG